GGGGCGGGGCGGGACGGGGCGGGGGCGGAGCGGGACTAAGGGCTCCTCCCCTGGTCCGGCCCCAGGCCGCAGGGCAGCCCTATGAGCAGTACGCCAAGATGATCTTCATGGAGCTGAACGACGCGTGGGCCGAGTTCGAGAGCCAGGGCTCCCGGCCCCTCTTCTAAGCCTGTCGTGGTCGAGGCCGTGTGTGTGGCTCACGGAGCCTGAAGCTGCTGAGTCAACCCCCGGGGGCCCGTCCGTGGCCGTCACGGCATGGGCTAGTGTGGCCACCCCGGATCGCCGTGCCCACTGTCCTCGGTGGACTCGACAGACGCCGCTCCCCGGCATGAGAAGAAAGAGCGTTCCAAAGCCTCTGATTTTCCTTTTCTTTTTCTGGTCCCAAAGGAAATGTTGATTACGCGCCCCCCGTAACTGTCACGGTTTGTGATTCCTTTCATTTTGTCCAGTGGCCAAGGCCTCTGCCCGCGGTAGAGTGCGCTGCTCAGCTGTCCTGCCCTGAACCCCGTGCGCGAACACTCCTTCTGTGTGTGATCAGCCTGGCAGCCGCCTGTACATAATTAAACTATTTTCCGATGACGCTTGTCTTGGCGCCGTGTGACCTTCTCTGGGCAGTGGTGCCGTCATCAGGCTGGTCTTGGCCCTGACCACGGAGCTGAGCACAGGAACCCGCCGGCGAGCAGCGGACTTGGGCCTCTGTGGGCCTCCGGGCAGCGTGGCTCTGGGTCTAGGGGTCGGCCCTCACCGTGAGCACTGGACAGGCCCCATGGTCACTGCGCATGGCCAGAACAGAACGATGCTGGCCCAAGTCCACGTCCCACCAGGTCCCTCCTCCGCAGAGGGGGGCGGACACGGGCTCTTCGGATGCTGCTGTTGAGGAAATTCAAAGCAAGAGCTCTCTTTGATGAGAAGCCTGTTGAGGAGGTGCCGGCTGTCCGGTCCTGCATGGTCACTCTGTATGCGGGCTTGGGGGGGCCCCTGTCAGCAGGAAGCTTTGGTCAGAAGTGATGTTACAAGCTCCCAGGGTCATCCTGCTCCTGTCCTGAGCTGGCCTGGGCCGAAGCTGCCACGCAGTCTGGTCAGCGCTGCAGGCCTCGGGGAGCTCGTGTGTGGTCCCTTTTGGCGGAGTCCAGTGTGATACCGGAGAGAAGGAGGATTCCGTGGACTGGAGAGGGGCAGCCTTTGCCCTGCGTCCCGTCGCATGGGTGGGATGTAGGAGTTGGTGTGGACTTGAACCATCGGTCAGTAAGGCCTGGGTGTCAGCCCGTAAACACCAAGTGGACGGCTCGTGTCCGGGCCGCCGCGAGCCCAGCACCAATGTCCCCAGGTAGAGGCCTCACCTAGAGTTGGACACCAGAAGCTCAGACCCCACCTTCCCCTGCCAGTGACCACATTGGCCCGAGACTCGCCAGCCCTGTGGGTGTGCAGCGCACAAGGCCCGGGGCTCGGAGGAAGGAGAGGCTCTGGCCTTTTGCCCTGGGGTCCCGTGGTTGCAGGACCAAACCAGAGGCTGGGACCCCGCCTGCCCTCTGGCCCTTGGGCTTGGCTCCCTCCGCTCCCGGCACCCCTGCAGCTCTGAGTCTGGACGGAGGGCGGGGGAGGGAGGGGGGAGAAGGTGGGTCTGGGCCTCGGCGCCATCCCTTTGCAGAGGTGACGGGTTCCCACGGTGGTCCGGGGCCCCACGGTGTGCTGAGTGACTCAGGCCAGTGCGGGCAGGCTCCCTGTGTTTGTTATGCGTTCGCTGCTATTTTTAGTCTCCAGCTCTTTTAACAGATAATGAGCGGCCTAAATAGCTTCAGAGATTTCACATCAAAGCTGCTCTGGATCCGGCACCAGGGCCAGACCCTCCAGGAGCCCCTCCCCAGCCCGTGCTGCCCTGGGAGAGGGGAGCTGCGGCAGCCCACCCGCCCCCTTAGTTTCTGCTTTTGGCACCGGCCCTAATTTACTTAGAGTGACATTCCAGAGGTTTCCACCTGCCCGGCCCACAGAGCTCTTAGCCTTCAGGCCACGGACCCAGTGTGGGGGCTGTTCCAGTGCCCTGGCCTGTCCCCTGACTGGGGGGCTGCAGTGATGAGTACAGCCAGCCCGTCATGGGTCCTGGGGGCGGGGGGCGACGGACTCAGATAAGGGACCCAGCAGAGGAGCTGCCTCCCCAGGCTGCCCCCTTCTATAAACCCAGGACCCCGTGTCCACCCTGGGTCTGCAGAGGATGCCCCACCCCCGGTGACTGGCGTCCTTGGCCACGGAGGGACACCACTCTGCTGGGTGTGTGGCCCATGCCCCCCTCCCTGCCTGCTCCCAGACTGTGGGCGTTGCCTGCTCCCCGAGCCTGGGGTCCTGGCCGCGGTGTTCGTGGATTTGTCTTTGTGCCCTAGTGATTCGTCCCCGTTCCTTCCAGCAACTGCTGTGTGTTTCTTGCGGCAACTTGGGGGTGGTCTCTGTGGTTCCCGTGTAGGATGGTCTGAGAAGTCTTCCGTGTCTCCCTGACAAGGGGGCCCCTTCCAAGGCTGGCCACACCCTCAGGCAGCGTGGCCTCAGGCAGCGAGGCCTGTGTTCTTGGCTCCAGCGCAGAAAACGGCCTGGCCGGTAGAGCACACGACTCTTGATCTCAGGGTTGCGAGTTCGAGCCCCACGTTGGGTGTAGAGATTACTTTGAAAAAATAAAATCTTTAAAAAGAAAAAAAAGGAAAAGAAAACAGGCTTGAATTCTGTTTCCGCCTCATTTCTGGCAGATGCCCATTTGTGGGAAATAAATACTCACTCATCCCACCCCTCCAGTGCCTGTGGCCGAGTCTGGGGGCCTTTCTGAGGGGTGGGGTGCAGCTCAGCTGTCCTGGTCACCTGCCTGGCCACTCTGCCTGGGGCCCCTGAAACAAAGGCCCTAGTCCGGGTCCCCCCAGGGTAGATCCATCAGGCTGTACAGGGCACTGGAGTGGTGGGGGGTCCCTGCTCAGCCTGCCCTTCTTGGCCCAGCTGCCATGGGGCCGAGTCCACTCACTCTGGGGTCTCCCTCAGAGACCTTCCGGGACCCCACCCCATTCCCTGCAGCCTGTAGGGTGACCACTGGGGCCTCAGGCCTATGTCCCCGGATCTGCAGAGCGTCCTGGGAGATGCACCCCACCCAGGACTGTGGGGCTGAGAACTCTGGGCCAGGAGGGACCCTCTGGGCCAGGAGGGACCCTCTGTCCCATCACTAAAGCTAGCTTGGACCCCCAGCAGATGTGGGCAGACCCCGGAGGTTGCCGTGGGTACTGCCAGGAGCAGCCTGGGCCGGGCCTCCCGGTCTTGGTGACAAGCTGCTGGGACAGGCAGGCCGGAAGGAGAGTGTCTTGGCCACCAGGAGGGCAGAGCAAAGACGCGCACACACGGTCTGGTGTTGGTGTCCAGCCGAGCCCTGTGGCCCACGCACTCAGGCTAGGAGCGTCTCCTGGGCAGTGAGGAAGGCCCGGACAGGGTCTCCTCCTAAACAAATCCTGCTGGGTGGGGCCCCTTGGGGAGGAAGACCCCCTCCCCCCACCTGGAGCAGCGGGAGGCTTCATTCTGCCTGGCTGCGGGGGGGGGGGCCACGGGGACCCCCAGAGGTGGCCAGAGGTGTGGCCACAGCCCAGCTCAACCCAGCTGCGCAGAAGCGCTGAGAGCGTCCGCGGGCTCGTAGCTGGCTCAGCCAGGGTTGTTGATTGCACTGGTCAGGGTGGGACAAGGGTGTCCCCAGGTCAGTTTGCTCGGAGGTGGAGAGGCAGGGCTGTCTCCGGGAGGAACACTTGTCCAGACCCAGCTCACTGGTGGCCCTCTGGGTAGGCGCCTCAGTGCGGGGGGTGGGGGGCGCGTCTTGGAGGCTGGTCCACGTTGTACACGTGTTATTAGGGCGGACAATGCCCACAGTGCGGACAAACACCTTTATCTGTTCCGTCGGTGGGGGAGTCGGGCTGTTTGGCTCTGTGTCCCCCACTGAGGAGCCATCAGCCTCTCCGCGGCCCCTGTGCCCTTTGGTCTGGACACGGGCTTCTTGCCAGGGCGCAGTGCGCTCATGTGCCATCCGCTAGTTGGGCGCACACCTTGCTGACCACCAATGTGAGGGCAGGACAGAGGCCCTTCTTGGGGCTCGGGGGGCCTCTCGGTCATGTCCTGCAGGGATGGAGTTGACCTGGGTGGTGTGAGCCCTTCCAGAGAGGCAGCCCCCCTGGCAGAGCCTGGCTGGTGAGCATTCCCTGTCGGAAAAGGCCTGGGAAGGAAGGACAGGAAGGTCCTGCGTCACCTTGGACGTCCTGCGGTGACCCTTGGACGGCAGGAGGGCTCCGGTGCTGAGCCCCCAGGTTCTGCTGCACCCTTCATACACGCAGGCCTTCGGGGCACCGTCAGAGCAGAGCGTGGGCCACGCCCCGGCTCTTTTCCAGCTCAGGTGCAGCCCAGACACCGGTCTCAGAAACAGAGGGACTGTCGTCCACCCCTGCTGCCAGGGTCCCAAGGACTTCTACCAGGAAGGCCCCCCCCTCAGCTCTCAGCAAGCTGTGCCCTAGAGCTGGGGGGCTGTCCTGGGCCCCAGTCTGGTGGGGAGAGATGTTGGGGGGGCATCCAACTGTGGCCAGCCCAGCCCCCCCTGCTGTTCGGACAGCCCCACCACCCACTCTTGGTCTCTTTCCCCTAGGGTGGCCTCTCCACACCTTCAGCCTCAGCTGGACTGCCTACCTGGGGCACTGTCTCCTTGCTCATAGGGGGCTCTGCAAGCAGGGTCCCTTGGCTCCATTGTCCCCCAACCCCGAGCTGCACCCTCAACCCTGGTTCTGCCTGACCCCACAGCCAGCATTCACACCCATGTCCAGGTGGGTCTGACCCTAGTGGACACTCCTCCAGCCACAGCCCCTGGGGAGTCAGTGTGGGCTGGTGAGGGGCCTCTGGGATGTTGAGGGCACAGGGTCGGGGTGGGGGCCTGGCCAAGTGGATGACCGCCCATCAGCTGCCCACGGGCTGAGGTCAGTGTCAGAGTCCGGCCCTCCATTCAGCCCTCGTCCCCCACTTTGCAACCTTGTGAGCCGCACATCCCAGCTCCAGGCTCACCTGCCAAGAGCCGAAGCTGCAGGGGGGCATGAGGCGGTGCTGACCGGGGGCTGATGGGTCAGTGCAAAGGGGACACCTGTCCTCAAGGACAGGGGCTCTGCTGCGAGTTGTCACGACTAGAGGCTGAGCCAGGGGGTGCAGCCCAGCGCCCTGCTGCAGCTCACGTGTTCAGCCACCTCAGCGTCAGGCAGGAAATCAAGCCGTTGTCTGTGTGAGGTCTTTACCCGCCGCCCTTTGAAGCAGCAAAATCGGACTGAGAGATGGTCCCCAGACCAGCAGCCACATGGCTGCCCCAGGGGAACAGGGTGGGGGTGAGCCCCCCATCACAGCAAGCTGAGGACACACTCGTCCCCAGAGGTCACAGAAGGCGCCATGGAGCCTGGCACCTGCGTCTCCACCACACCCCGCTCCTGGCCGGCTCTGCCCAGGCCTCTGTCAGAACAGGCGGATGGCATGGCCGCCACCCGGCCTCCGCCCTTTCAGGCACCGCTCGCCCCTTCCCAGGAGCTGGAGAGAAGGGGGCG